TACGCGCTAATCTTTTAACTTCACGTGATATTTCAATGCACACTATTATAGTGCATGAAATTTTGCTCTATCCACTCTCAATAATTGGGTAGAGAGCAAAACACTACTCATACTGGCTACTTGTCTTACACTTAATGACTAATTTATTCAAGCTCGCATTTCTTGGATGACGTGACTCTTGAATGTTACTTCATCCAATGATGTAACATTATTTACAAGTCAAATTACAAAGTCAATCCGCGCAGCTCAATAGTCAAGATCATATACAGATCTATTGAGGGCTTACTAATTTCATAACTCCAAAACTCGCCAACCAAAACTACGTAGCGTGCCGCTAACCATAGCGCATACATTAGTTTTTATTATGCCAAACAAGGCAACAAAACCACGGCGACTTTGAGTCATGTTTCCTTACTTTGGCTCAATTAAGATTTGACCTAAAGTCTCCAAGACTTTTGCTCATCTAAAGAATGGGATTACATTGTTCACATTTGAACATCTCTACTAAGTCTAGGTCAACCAAATTAACTTCCATAAGCTAAGTCAATTTAGAGAGAAATTTGCATTGGGATTAATTTGATTAGCATAATATAATTTTGCCGCAAAATTCTAAATTAAATAGTGACAATATTAAACAAGTTGCAAGATCGAAAATCCGCTATACTCGTAATCATCTCTTGCGCCACAGGTGATAATTATCCAAAATTTAATTTAATTTATGCACAAAATATTAATTTTCTGGAGTTAATCTACAAAGATTTCTTTCAACCGAATAACCTCCCACTAGCTATGGTATGTCTAAAAGCATGATAAAAAATTCTAATTCCATACAATAACATCATAATATAGATTCACAACCAACTCATGCTATGTCTCAATTAATAATGGAATTTAAACAAATAACAATTAATCATGCTATTCTAATTACAACATACTAGAAACTCTAGGCAAAAAATAACAATATGTTGTATTTAATATTCAAATTATGCCATAACAGAAACTATATCACTTCTGAAATTTTCTGGTATTTTCTGAAATTTTAAATAACTAATAAACACACATAAAATAAGAAATAAATATTCCAGAATCTGGTAAAATGATATAACTATACCAGTAAATAGTTAACTACAACAGTATTCTACAATAAACAAATTCAGCCCCAGAAACTTAATCATGCAACACCAGATGTATTTTAAACTAGAAATAATGAATTATTATTTCAGGAAAAATATTTTTTATTTTTATAAAATTTTCAAAATTTTACAGAAGATAAAAAAATTAATTCTGAGTCTAACGGTACCAACCATGCTTAAAACAAAGCTATAACGAATTAATTATGACCATTTAACGTAGTTCTGAATTTTAAAGAAAACAAACAGACCATTAACCACAACCGTCAAACCAGCCAAGCTGGCGCAGAAAACGACGCGACTCGGCTCGAAGAACGGCTCAGCGCTTGTCTCAGCGTCCGGCGCGCGCGTGAAAGCGCGGAATAGCGCATGCGTGGCAGCGCGTCTCAGCACGTAGAGGCGCGTGAGAGCACGTGTCCGCCGCTGACGACGTCATCAAGAGCATGAGGCACACCCGTCGCCTTTCGAGGTGTTTTTTGGTCCGATTTCGGTACTCCCAAACTCCATTTTTCACAACAAAAACATTTATAGCATCGAAAATCACATTTAATGAACATAAAAATGAGGTGTACCACATTCTCAATCTAATGGGAGTTGAAATTTTCCTCTTTTATAGACATTCATGTATATAATGTGTACATATATATATATATATATATATAAAATATACACATGATTAGAGAAAACACGAAAATACTCATTTACGCTCTGATACTAATGTAAATCAAAGGTAAACGCAACAGATGAAAAATTATGGTCATGCATTTTTTTGCAGAGTCTGAATTGAAGGATCTTGTGGGTAAATCACGTGCTTCCTGAACCTGGTCAATCAACCCAGCAATAGAGTGATATTACAGAATGAATATCACCTACACAAGTCACAGTGCAAAATGGCTCTTGATGTTGTATTTTGGGAGAGAGTCAGTATATCGGGAAAACATACGATATACGTTATTTTTCTCTTAATGTTTTTCTCTTAATCACCCATATCACATATTATATCAGATATATAGGATAATAATAAATCTATCCATATCAGTTATATCAGATATATAATATATCTATATCATCTATCCATATCAGTTGATATGGATAGATATAGATATCCTGAGTGGTTATCCAAATAGGTTTTGAATTCAAATTCAAACTTATTTGGATAAGGTTCAAAAGGTTCAGAAAATGGTCATGTCACATGGGCGCCCAATTTCTAACAGAAATATTTAAAATGAAAATGGATTAAATAGAATATAACATTTAGGAATATGACTTTTAGAAAAATGATCCTAAAATTAAAAGTAATTCTAACTATTTAATTTTCTTTTATATTGATTTGGAAAATAAAAATATGTAGAAATAGAAATTATATAAAAATTATTGAAAAAATTAAATATAAATATGTTGTAGTTGGATTATCATATAATTATTTTATATGATATACATACATATTAAATTATAAGATTATAAAATAAACATTCTTAATTAAATTAAAATATCAACTGTATAAAAGAAATTCACCAACGACTAACTAAGAAAGAATCACATAACAATATCAAAACCCAAAAAGAAAAAATAATGAAAACATCTCAACGATAGATATATCTCAGTGTGTGAAGTGATTAATCATCTATAATATGATGTCAAAACATAAAAGAACTTATTGTTCAACAATTGAAAAAATAACTCAAATAATAAATCCAAACACGAGAGATTCCTTGCGAGTATCATTGTTGTACAGGTTTGTCCTCCTGTAAGTTGTGATTATATGAAATTATGTACGAAATGAAATATTATTTAATATATAGAATCACTATAAAATTTAAACGACAAATCCATAATATATAATTGGTATTGGGTATTGAATAATGCACAGAAAAAAAAAAAAGAAGAAGACAATTTAGCATTAAAAACAATTCTAATACCCTTGAAAGAATTAAGAAGAAAAATATGAAACGCAAAATTGGTATCGGATTTGTGGATTATCTCAATTTACAATAAAAAATATATGAAAAATAAAAATTTGTCAAATAGAATCCATATAAAATAAGTAAAGTTAGTATAATTTAAATTATATTTAAGTTTGTGTAGAAGTAATTAAGAAAATATATACTGACGTGACTATCTTTAAAAAAAGTAAATACTTATAATGTGTTACCTAAAGATGAGAAAAACACTACTTTTAATAGTATATATATATATATGATGTATCTTAAAACAAAATGACCATAATAAACATCAAAATACATCCTTAATAGTAGTTCAAAGTTTTTCTGCACACATCTTTTAAAAATAGAAAATCTTAGAGCCCAACTTTTGATTATAAATAAATAAAAACCCTAATTTTTTCATTATTTTTTACTTCCTCCATTGTTTCTCATTTACTCTATTGTCCACTCTATTGTCTATTGCTTGCTACACAATGAATAGTTAAAAGTGTGTTAAAATGTGTTACATAAGAATTTGGTCCAATTAAATGTGCAATTATAGAAAACCAAACGATTAAATATATATATATATATATAATAAAAAAAAAGTGCAGTGGAGATGCTTGAAAAAGTATGGTGAAAATGATCACAATTATATTTCAGCATCCCTATGCTCTCTCTCTCTCTCTCTCCGACTCTGTTGCCACATTGGATATGCTTTAAAAAGCATGAATAGATCCCAACTTGAGTAGTAGAAATACGAGGGCATATTGATTGCAATGTACGCAATATCGCCACAAATGCAAAACATGGAGGGGCGGATCTACAGTGGGACTGGGGGGTGCCATGGTCACCCCCAGGTTTTGGAAAATTACACTACTACCTCTATATTCATAGGTATTTGTAAAATGTACCATTGAATTGCCTCTTAATTTTTTGAAAATCATTTTACTAATTCTATATTTTCATTAATTTTTCACAATGTATAATGAATTGATTTTTGACTATTTCGTATGCTACTTGGCATCAATAAGATTTACACAATTTTATTTATACAATATGTTTATGTCACTTCTTTTTATTTTTATTTACTACATATTGTCAACAAATAAAATAATTTCATTAATATTTCATGAATTTAGAAAATAATTAAAAAGAAAAAAAAAACTTGTTAGATTTATTTATTTATTTATTATTGTAAAGTAATTTTTTCACAACCCTTATATAAGAAATTACTCTCTATTAGTAATGTAACAACAATTTTTTTTTTTTTTTTCACACAATCTCCTTGGCCCTCTGGACATAATTTTTAGTTCCGCCACTGAAAGCATGTGCTACACACTTCGGTCATCACAACTAGCTTGGTTCATTCAATAAGCACAAGTTGCAAAATATGTGAGATTTGGTAAAACAGCAGTGATTTAGACTCCCTCAAACTTCAACCCCCACCCCCCCTACACACACGTGGCGGGTGATGATTGGAGGAGAAGAAAAAATGGAAAAAGAGAAAGTGACCAATCAAAAAAGAAAGGAGATCAAAGGAGGTAGGGGGAAAAGGGGTCTCAATCTTTATTCTTTGGCAAAATTGGTTGATTTACATCTACTGAAAGGCAAAAGGGGACCAAGCGGAGACTGCAAAACTTGAGACAAAGATCAAAAGAAGTTTAGGAAACTGAAGATCATCTAAACCAGAGTTCACAAGGTCAACAGCTAAATCACTTTACAAGAATCAACATATCCTATCTTTATAATTTCTTCCATCACAGGATCAGCAAATCTTCAGATAAGTGATCTTAGACCTATTTGTTTTGGCAACTCTTCCAATCTATTCTTCAAACATATCAAAAGAGATGCTAATAACCAAACACAGCCATCACTCACATTACTCTGGAAGTGCATCAACAATTTCAACCCAACTCACCACATAAAGAACACACTGTCATACATAAAGAACACCGCATTCACATACAAGATGAATAGCCAGCTTATGATATTAAGCAAGCAACATATGGATAAAACAATCATCGTAGACAATCAAAATCTTTCAGTGTAAGCCAAGTTAACCTAAATTGATTCTCTATAATGGGACCTAATCACATACAATTGTAGACATACACACTCAACATATTGATACAACTTCGTGTTCTTCTAGGCATGTGCCAAGCACAAAACCATACTTTTTTATGCCTAATAAACGAGAAATTGCCTAATTAGTAGAATACATCAAGGTTTATTGAACACATACAATAAACGAGAAATTGCCTAATTAGTAGAATACAATAAACCGTCTTGATCACAAAGTCTAAAGTACTCAGAAAGTCCAAAGCCAGACAAATGCTTCAAGTTCTGTGATTTAGATCTTAGGTGTCAGAGCTGGCATTTGCATCACATATATTGCACACCGAAGTTCACTGAAGAAATTCATATGCAAACCAGAAGGTGTGGCGCTGATTGCAGGAGGCTTCTGTTGGTTGAGTTTTCAGAATTTATTTTCTGAAAAATTATCAAAAGTTAATTTGGTTTAAAAAAACAAAAACTCATTAATTTCATATGGATTTCTCTTTTTTGGAAAAGAAATAATTTTTAAAATTTCAAAAATAACTTAGTTTTTTATTGTTCCCCTGCCCTATGCACCACTCCCTGAATACATCAAACGCAGGTAAGGCAAAATTATTTATTTGAATACAAATATCCAAGAATAATGAAAACAAAACAAAAGTATATGGCAAATCCTAAACAACCTAAACATTAACCTAAACAAAGGCAGACCACAAAGTTTTATAATTAACCAACACAATTACCTTGTACTGGATTAGCAAGAAAGGAAATATATATATATATATTTCAGGGATCAGCCTGAGTTTCCCCCAGCTTGTAAAGTAATTGTGGCTGATGGTTTCATACGCCATGCTACCCCTTGCCTTTGCGCAATATAAGGCTTTCTCACTGACCCAAAACAGAACCAATGTTTAAAAAGTTTTATTATAGAAAGAAATACAAATACAACTACTTTTTGAGAATAGGAATCAATAAGTGATGAAAGAAATGAAAATAGGAAAAAAAAAATTAATAAAACCTTCGAACAATCTTGGGAATTTCCATTTTTAACTAAGATAAATGATTGAACTGAACATGTGTTACAGATAAACGCAAATTGATATGGTCAACGAAAACAGAAGAAAGAGGAAGAAATGACCAGCTGCAAAGGTTGGAAACAGTGAAGGAAAAGGAAAAAAGAAGGGGGGAGCAGAGAATCACCATGAGAAGAGAGAGATGTAATAAGGGTGCGTTTGATGATTTCCTTCAGTGCCTTGTAATTGAAATGTGTTGTGCACGGCATACAACTCCAACCTTAGTTGTTGATACATTGCCCACAAGCATACCAGAAGGGCTTAAGAAATGCCATGTATACAGTTTATTCTACTACATCTTCAGGATTCAAGCTAGACATTCTGAAATTTGAGTGCATTATTTATAAGCAAGCTCAATAGATTAAACTAGTTGCTGCAATGTTATGATATACCCGGTGGTATGACGAAAAGTAAAATTACACTAACTGCAAATTGACATGTCAACTAGAAAATTAACTCAAGATCAAGAGCTTACTATTGAAATCATAGAGACTCCATAGAGTTCAAACAGATCCAAATTAAACTAGACCAAGTAGTGGTGTGAACACGTCATGCTTGAGAGGATGCAGGGTATGCATAAGCATATGTGTACACGAATAAATGAAAATAAATATCCAAGATAACAATAGGGCATGATGAGATTTGGTCTTATAGAATCCAAATATGAGGCCAAGTTCAGAAACAATTAACCCCATCCATAGACCAAATCTCACCACTTTTAGTCAGAAACAAAAGTTTAACTTTGAAGTGATTTGTCCTTTTCCAAGCTCGTTTAAACCCTAGAAAGTCACTCATTCTGGACAAACGAAATTGAAACAAAACTAGTAGCTTTTAAGTCTAGAAGAAGAGGATATTAAACTTAAATTTGAAAAAACAATAATAAAAATAAAAATGAATTTAGAATCAATTGTAAACAGTTACTAATCAGCTGCTGTTGATGAAGAGAATGTCCCTGAAGTCATCGGCATCAAGGAGATAGCGAAATACATACAACAAATACATTCCTGCAAAAAGAAAGGCCATCTCTTCGATGATTGTACAAATTTCTCAAAGAAATTGAGGCAAAAAAGTATACGAAACCCTAGCTCTCCGATTCTTCTGCTGCAAATTTGTCGAAGCAAAAAGATAGAAAAAAATTTGGACCATTTCTCGATTTGTGCGTGTCATCCTTGCGCAGGGGCCATGCTAATCTTCTCTGTATCGTTCCAATTTTATCGGATGTCCCCGAAGGGACAACGTCTTCTCTTTTCTTCTTTCTTATAAACTCCATGTCTATAACGTCGAAGTTTCGATGTGGGACTGGGACGACATCAATCAGACTGACTTTATGGTGGTGTCTGCTTCCATCTTCGTGAATTCCAACAGACACATCTCAGGCTCCATCGAATCGTAGCCATCAGCTGTATGTATACTTTTTTTCTCTCTCTCTCTCTCTCTCTGTCTCTGTATGTATGTATATAGGTATGGTGTTTGTCTATTGATTCTTCATTGGTCGAATTGATCTGCCCTCCAGATATTAGAAATTAAGAGAATTCTATTATAGACACGTCATGTAGTTTTAGTTATGTTATTTTTTTTTTAATTATGATTATTTTTTTAATTATGATATTATTCTAAGATATTTAGTTATGACTTTCTTATGTTTGGTTATGATTTTTTTTTTTTTAATTCATAAAGTATGAAATTATATAATTTTCTTCTATAATTACACGATGCATATAGTACACACTCTTTGAGGGGTATGTAGTTATCTTCTTCCTTAATTACTCTTTCTATTATTAGGTTTTTTTTTTTTTTTTTGGCCAAATCTTCTCTCCAATCCAAATCACATTGGAGGGCACTGTTGGGTCTCCGTGACCTCATTTTTGAAATGTTCAATGTGTAGGGTTTACCGATCATTTCATATCTAAAAAAAATTACATTGATCGGATATCGGTAACTACTTGATCAGATCACATTTCTATCAACGGTAGGTATGAGTTTTTAAATAAATTATTTATACAAATGTAATCTAATTAAGTGATTATCGATATATCTAATCAACGTGATTTTTTTGTAAGGTTAAAATACTCACACATTGACCAACTCGAAAATGAGGGCTTTGTGGTGGGGCCACAGTGGCCCAATAGCATCCTTCAATTAGGATATACAACTGGCGAGGAGCCTCCTTTTTTGTTTGGATGGTAAGAAAAGAACGGAAAGCAAACAAAGATGGCCCAAGAGCATCCTTCAATTAGGATACCCAATTGGAGAGGAGTCTCCACTTTTTGTTTGGATGGTAAGAAAAGAAAGAAAAGCAAACAAAGATGTTGGACGGCTTAAAAAATAAAATGTGATGTAGGGACATAGATTATATATATACTAGTGGTCTACACATTTTATGTGTGTAACTTAAAAAAACTAACAAATATAATGATAAAAACATATGTCCATATAGCATGTGTTGCTCAAATGATAAGAATTTTCATCATTAAACCCACGGTCATTGACTCAAGTCTTATTTGTCTCTATGTACGATTTTTAGGAAAACAAAAAGTGTGAATACTACCATAGGAGCAATTCTATTTTAACACACCTATTTATTTTTGTGCACAGACTTAATGGAACATAATTTTAATGACAAATTAGCAGTTGACCCATGCAATGCACGTGCTATTTTTTATATATGTAAATATTTGATGGTACAATGTGTGTTATAAAAGAATAATTTTAATTTAAAATTAAAATTAAAATTAAATTCAACTATGGTTTTAATTATTTATTTTGATAATATTGGCGCTATCGTTCTACAAAATCGTTACATGAATACTTATATATATTAATTTTAGTTAAATTATTTATGTATTTTGATAATTTTAGTTATATCGTTTTTATAAAAGTATAATTATCATATAATAATTTTCTATTATATATATTAAATTATAAAATAATAAAATAAATATTCATTGTGATATTAAAAATAATAATTAAATTAGAAGAAGAATTAGTAATATAAATTAAGGGATTTTTATTGATAAAACTCCTTTAGGAGTGTTCTAACCCAACAAATCCGTGAAAGAAATTTATAACCTAATTAGTCCCATATGTTTATACTTTTATTTCATAAGGTCTTTTTTTTTTTACTTATTTACATTTTTGTTAGACTATTATACTCTTATGTTTATTGTTAATATATATTACAAACTGTGGGGATATATTTTCTGAGTACCAACACGTGGCAAGGTGACGCCGACGTGTCAGCCGAGGTGCCACGTGTCTTGGTCGTGACGCCGAGGTGATCTCGGTAAAGCCGAGGTTATCTCCGAAGATATCGGAATCCGAGATAAGTGGATAAGGGACAAAAGTCCTAGAATGAAGAGGGAACTCAACTTGGATAAGGACAAGAGTCCTAGATTGGGAGAAGACTTCAGTTTGGGTAAAGATAAGACTCTTAGAGAATTTATCCTAATCCCACTGGGAGTCCCAGATTAGCAGTAATCCTAAGTCCATTAGGGCCAGGCTCCTATTGGGACTAGGATTGTATTGGTTATAAAAGAGAGGCACCCCCATGAGTCTAAGGTATGCTTCTGATACTCAAACTTGTGAGTTTAATACTTGATTTATCTTTGAGAGATATACTGACTTGATCGTCGGAGTGCCCCCGGGTGATCGAAACCACCGCGGGATTCTTATATTTCTGTTGCAGGTCAATCAGGTGCCATCTATTCTGCCAGTGTTCTCCAGCTGGTTACTAAACGGGCAGTGTGGTCGGAAAATCACCCACACAATTTGGCGCCGTCTGTGGGAAAGAAAGAAGAATAGATGGCCAATGACAGACAGAAGGATCAGATTAGAAACAACGCTCCTGCTAGGAGTAGGAGACCTATCGATCTCGACGTTGAAGGAGACAACCGCAACACAAAAACTCGTGACCAGAGTCACGGAGTGAAAGAAGCCAGCCAGGAAGGTGACGCACCAAAGACAACAGATCGAAACAACGAAGACAACCTCCAGGTATGGAAGGATAGATACCTGCGGAGGAACGAAGACCCTTCCAGAAGGGATGCAAAGACAGGGGGCATGAGCACTTCCAAGGAGATAACATTCAAGTATAGAAGAGCTCAACTTGAGTGAGCAAAACTCAGATCCCAGATCCCAGAAGACATGATCTCGGCCTAGATGAGTAGGTCCGAGAAAAGAAGCGCTCAACCTGAGTGAGCAGATCCAAGATTCCAAAAGATAAGGTCTCGGCACCTGAGTCCGAGAAGAGAAGAGCACAATGAGCAGATCTCAGATCCCAGAAGATAAAAAGGAAACACACAAGATCAGACTAAAGTTGGCCAGAATTGAGAAGTATGCTAGGGCCGAGGAGGACATGCCGGGAACAAAGACGTCGGAACAAGAAAAGAGAAACAGCTCGCCGATGTGAGGCCGAAAATCAAACTCAGGTTGGAGCCAAGTAAGATCAATAGAGAAACCAAGGCCGACAACCTCGGCTTGAATTAAACCTCGGCGACAAGGTCGAAGCTACATGTATGATGAGTACCCAAGTGGATTTTAAGTTCATACTGGGGGGCAGAGAGAAGAAGAATGCGTTTACCACTTGTTGAAATTTGTAGGAATTTACAAGTTGGTTAAACCAATATGATGCTTAACAGAAGTTAAGCCGAGATGATACTTAACCGAAGTTAAGCGAAATAATGCTTAACCGAAGTTAAGCCCAGATAATGTTTAACCGAAGTTAAACCGAGACGATACTTAACCGAAGTTAAGCCGAGATGATGCTTAATCGAAGTTAAGCCCAGATTATGTTTAACCGAAGTTAAACCGAGACGATGCTTAACCGAAGTTAAGCCGAGATGATACTTAACCGAAGTTAAGCCGAGATGATGCTTAACCGAAGTTAAGCTGAGATGATACTTAACCGAAGTTAAGCCGAGATGATGCTTAACCGAAATTGAGCCCAGACGATGTTTAACCGAAGTTAAACCGAGACGATGCTTAACCGAAGTTAAGCCGAGATGATGCTTAACCGAAGTTAAGCCCAGATGATGTTTAACCGAAGTTAAACCGAGAGGATGTTTAACCGAAGTTAAGCCGAGATGATGCTTAACCGAAGTTAAACGGAGATGATGCTTAACCGAAGTTAAGCCCAGATGATGTTTAACCGAAGTTAAACCGAGACGATGCTTAACCGAAATTAAGCCGAGATGATACTTAACCGAAGTTAAGCCGAGATGATGCTTAACCGAAGTTGAGCCCAGATGATGTTTAACCGAAGTTAAACCGAGACGATGCTTAACCGAAGTTAAGCCGAGATGATGCTTAACCGAAGTAAAGCCCAGATGATGTTTAACTGAAGTTAAAACGAGACGATGCTTAACCGAAGTTAAGCCGAGATGATGCTTAACTGAAATTAAGCCGAGATAGTTCCTTATCTTCACTTGTTGAAATTTGTAGCGATTTACAAGTTGAAGTTAAGCTGAGATGGTTCCTTATCTTCACTTGTTGAAATTTGTAGCAATTTACAAGTTGAAATTAAGCTGAGATGGTTCCTTACCTTCACTTGTTAAAATTTGTAGCAATTTACAAGTAAAAGAAGGTAAGGAGCTATCTCAGCTACTAATTGTAAATCTGCTACAAATCAACAAGTGAATAAGGAACATCCACTTAATTTCAAACTTGAAATTGCTACAAATCAACAAGTGAAATAAGGAACATCTCAGCTTAACTTCAACTGTAAATCGCTACAAGTTCAACAATGAAGAATAAGGAACTATCTCGGTTTAAATTTCAGTTAAGCATCATCTCGTCTTAACTTGTTAAGGCATCGCTCGTTTAACCTCATTAAACATCATCTGGGCTACTCGTAGCATCATTCGGCTTAACTCCGGAGCATCGAGTCTCGGTTTAAGTCGTTAAACATCATCTGGGCCAACTCGTTAAGCACATCTCGCTTACTCGTTAAGTGCTACCGCTTAAATTCGGTGTAGCATCGTCTCGGTTAACTTCGCTTAAAATTCATCTGGGCTTAACTTCGGTAACATCACTCCGTTTAACTTCGGTAAGCATCATTCGGCTACTTCGGTTAAACATCCTCTCGGTTAAACTCGGTTAAACTCATCTGGCTACTCGTTAAGCATCATCTCGGCTTAATTCGTTAAGCACGGCTCGGTTAACTTCGTAAACAACGTCTGGGCTCAATTCTCGTAAGCACATCTCGCTAACTTCGTTAAGTACATCTCAGTCAACTCGTTAGCACACATCGGCTAACTTCGGTAAGTAGCACTCGGTTAACTTCGTAAGCATCGCTCCTCGGTTTAAACTATCGTTAACATATCTGGGCTAACTCGATTAAAGCATCCACCGCTTAACTTTCGGTTAAGATCGTCTCGTTAACTCGTAAACATATCTGGCTTATTCGTAAGCATATGCTTAACTCGTAAGTAATAAAGTATCATATCTCG